GCACAGTTTTACCTGGACGATTTTTCTAATAGTTTTAAAACCGTCAAAGCAAAACTGTCATATAGGAACCATAGGAAACAAAAGCATGAACAACTAAAATCGTGAAAAAAAACCATACCAAACTGACTGCGAGAAACCGCGTATAAAAACCGCCATAAGTTTCACGGTTCTTTTTTCTCCGTGCAGTTTCTAGTTTTTATGCACAAAAAATCGTTCTGATGCAACATATTCAGTTAGGACAAAAGTTATGAATAAGTGAAAATTTAATCTTATAAATTGTAATTTTTTTGAATGAATGACTCTAGTCAAACAGACGAGTCAACGTCACCGAATTTTCGACCAGACTCAAGCCAGAGTCTTTAAACAAATGTGACTTGAGTCGACTCGGACTCGCCCAGCTCTATTCCATACTGCCGAGTAGGAGCACAAAACAGGCGAGTGAGTCATGTGATAATATTTGTTCAGAGAGATGATACTGTTTATAGTAAGAAATTCACAAATGATATGGTGCGTTGTCATGAAAGAGTCGGTGAATCAGATCTTGACACCAAAACTTTACATAAGCGAACTACAACAGCTCGACACTGATCTAACTTTGATTTTCATAAATTTTTGAACTAGATTGTGCGTTCACTCTGCTCGTCATGGTCATTGAACTGAAGTAGAAAAAAGAAAAGAAAAAAATTTTCTTTTTTCATTAATGTATGTTTGCTATAAATCGTAAAGAGAGAGAGACAGAGAGAGAGAGAGAGATAGAGAGAACACTATTTCATTATCTTTTTTTTCATCTGTTTTACTGATGCATAACATTATTTTCATATAGTAGTGCAGATTAGAAAAACCGTCATCCTAAGTAGCCATTAAAGATAGATCGATGCTGAGATCATCCAAAAGACATTGATAGTAGGATAGATTGATTGACAATTAAAATAAATCATTTCTTCAACAAATTGAATAAAACAAAAAGTTGTTTTCACGTTCATTACATACTTAAAATGATAAAAGAAGTTTAATCAAGTATTAATCTTATTTACCCGACATAAAGAATCCATCACAACCATATTACTTCCAAAATATTGAGACAAACAGCAAAGTATATAAGATTAATATTTCGTTGATATTTTGGAAGGAAAGAAAGGTTAAATTTATTCGAAAAAAATAGAAAAGAAGAGAATTGATTTCTTTTCTTTTCTTTTCTTTTCTTTTCTTTTCTTTTCTTTTCTTTTCTTTTCTTCTCTTCTCTTCTCTTCTCTAGCTGTGCTCTTATAGTCTGATCAATGTGTCTTTATTACGTTGGTTTAACGTAGTTATTCAAAAAGTAGTTGTAGTTAATTGATCCGTCCATTTTTGTGTCAATTTGCGATGTTAAGATGTAAAATTCTTCATCATTAAAATTACACTTGAATGATTTCAGTAAATCTTTAAAAGCAAGAACAGGAACAGAACCTGTATTGTCAACATCACGCTGTTTAAATGCACGTCGAAGTGGCTTGAAATTGTCAGTTAACTAAAATAAATAAATGAAAGACATAATAAATGACTTTTCTGATAGATCAGTCAACCAAAACAACATTTAAATTAGTTAATAGACTCTCCTAATTGCATGTCTCATTCTAAATTGATAGAAACAAAATAGTTTTGAGAATAACAAATTATGAGCAACTTTTATCATAAAAAACTTTCATTTCGATGATGAAATCATTTTCATTCATATTCTGTTTTATGAAGCGCAAATTTTCCTTCTTCTTCACCATTAGGTACAGTAGTGAGTGTATAATTATTTCATTTAATTAGGAACCATGAAAATAATTTATCTAATGAAGAAAATAAAGAAATACAAAACATTTAAATAAGCAAAATAGATAGAAAAAAAATTAATTTACTTCTATTCTCTTAGTTGAATGAAACATCATTCAATTTATGAAAGGCCCTAAGGGCGGAAACGTTCTTTTGTGGGCCTTTCATAAATTGAATGGTGTTTCATGAAAACGTATCATAGAGAACCCGAAAACGTCTCATTTTCTGAATTTCCAGACCGAACGAGGACACCTGGTTTTCTGAGATTTGGGTTTTCTAGTGACCCTAACTTCAGGAGCTCTGATGGAAATCGTTATGTATATATCATCAAACTGGAAATTCTCCCAGCTGTACAAATCTTTTTTCAAATTTGTTCTAGCTACTATGGTCGCCGAGAAAAATGAAAAAGAAAGGTGGACGAATCATTTTTTGAACCCACTGTATGGTTAACTTTTTCATTCCTATGAAATCCTTGTGATCAAACATAAATGCATCATGAATGAAGAGAGAAAAGCACATGAGAAGGATTTTAATGGTGCTCTTTAGTGTCAGCTTCCAAGTGAAAATCCTATCTAGATGGAACGGCTGTATCCACTCGAAAGCACCTAAAATCAAACGTTCGTAGTTTTCCGCTTCTCATAGGACTATCGTAAGCAACAAACAAAAGGTGAGTCGTTTCGTTATCTTGTACTTCACTCGTCCTTTTGTCCGTGATAATGGACAATGGAACAAGATTTACAGCAACTGTATTTTACATAGCAACATCATCCTAACGTTAAACTGAGGATTCTGCAGATATAACTTAGAACCTATTTTATCTAATTTCAGTAAATAAATATCTATGGATTCACCGCTCTGACATTTAATTACTATCAATTATGTAATGAAACATCGACAAATTTTTCAATTTTCATACAATGGACAATCATAGAAGTAATAAACATTAGTTCTGTCTTATATTTAACCTCACACTGTTAATAATCGGATAAAAATGCATCAAATTTCTCTAAAGATAAAACTATCTGACCTTCACGATACAAAACACTTATTTAAATCAGGGCTAGATGAGTCCGAAGGATGATTTGTATCGAATTCGAGGTTTTTTCTTACTTTTCGCCGTAGCTTGTTCATCACTTGCGATAAAATCGATCTGTCTGCTGATGCTCTTGGTGAGTCTTGTATTGACATGTTATTATCGACTTGGGCCATCATCTCAGGTACAGGTGAATGATACTTTAAAAATTTAACATAATTTATTCTAAAATAAAGGATATTTCAAAAGTGTAAGTCGAATATTTTATTGCAAATCTCTCACCTTCCATCATTTCCTATTTTAAATTTAAATTTAAATGTATCTAAATCTTCGTGATTCACCACCGGGCATATTTCATACAAAATATCATCGAATTCTTCGCTCATAATGTAACCGGTACGATAAGGATCTAATTCCATAAATTCTCGACGTAATTCATCCCAATTTGAACGAATCTGTTAAAAAATATTAATTAGATTCATGTATATGATAAATATAGATAGATCTACATACAGCATTTAGTGCCGATCCATGCACAAGAATGTTATCGCCATATAATTTCCGTGATGTTAACAAGAAATCACAGTCACCGCGACGAGGAGGATTTCGTTTAGCATTTGGATATGTTGCTGATCGTTTTGTATAGCCAAATTCTCTTAAAAATTGGTAAAAATCTAAGTTGTTATTTACTTTCAAATGACACCGTGTCCACAATAATTTCACTTCTGAACGAGTGATCGGGGGTTTGACATCCAATCTAAAACAGCAAGCGATCATTAAAGAAAGTGATATTGCCTGAAGATTATCGTGTAGTTCATTTTAAAAACTAATTAAAAAGTTTATTTTCATTTTGATGAGAAAATATCCCCTACTGAAACTGAATCATGGCGATCATATTGTGAATTTATAGTGATCGGAAAGAATGATCTATTTTATTAGAATAATCGACTACGTCTGAAAAGAGATAGAAATCCATACTTGACAATGTATCTATTTTAATCAACTAAAAAGTATCTCTTTTGAGAAACTTTGGAAAGAAGAATTTTGGAAAGAAATTGCATTTCTCAAAAAGAGATACATTATCTCTCATTTCTATATTCCAAATAAAAATGACATTAAATAAGAGGAAGAAGCAATCAAGATTATCTTATGTGGTAATTAGTACTTATATTTAAAACAAATTTATTTTCAAAAAGAAGTTAATTTGTCAACTGTTTGTAATTCTTATTTTCGCTGTCTTCATTCTCATCGGTGCTAATATCTGAATCACGAGTTTTCTTAAACACTTCCACATAGTTGTATCCTAAATGATGACAAAGTCTTTGATATTTTCTTCTAAGTCTATTTCTTCACTCAATAACTCTTGTCTGGTAGAAACCAGATGAATGTCGTGATCAATAATTAACTTGATTCTCAAGTTTGCCCTTTTTTAATTCTTTTTAAAGATTTGTGTTCAATTTTCTGCAAAATGTTAGTTGAATGTTTTTTTATACAATGTAATTTAAAACATTATACAAGAATAAGCTGAATCTGTAGAATTTATCACAAGTTCTAATTATTTGAATCAAGTTGATAAATAAACTTTTTTTGGAAAATAAATTTGTTTTAAATATAAGTACTAAGTATCATTTAAGATAATCTTGTTTGCTTCTACCTCTTATTTAATGTCATTTTTATTTAGAATATAGAAATGAAAGATCATGTGTCTATTTTGAGAAATGAGAAATTTCATATCTATAATTGTATCTCTTTTTGAGAAATACAATTTCTTTCCCAGAATATTCGTTGCTCAAAAGAGATACTTTTTAATTGATTAAAACAGATACATTGTAAAATATGGATTTGTATCTCTTTTGAGAAGCTACGGAATAATCTCTACAATTAATTTCTACTTACCTTTTAAATAAATCAAACATCATGTCCTGTGTTAATTCTCCATATGAACTTTTATCGAGTATTTTAAATTCATCTTCAATCTCTTTATACCGATTACGAATCAACGTTTTGATAATTTCTCTTAACTAAAATAGACAGTCAGATAGTCAGTCGATACGCATCACAAAAAAAATATCATGCTGTCATTACTTCATCAACAGATCTCGTAAATCCAGTCAAACTATCATCATCAAATTCATCTTGATGTTTTTTCTTTTCCTTTGCTTTTCTTCTCGCTGGATTGGCATGAGTATGTTCTTGATCTAATCTTTCGCGAATATCTTCACTACGCATATAATCCCAATCGGGTACACTAAAAACGAATAAGATGGTAAATTTTACAATGTAACCAGAATGAGGCATACAACAGTTACAGTTAACTGTTAAACTGTAACTGTCATAACTACACTCTAAAAAAAAGTTATTCAGGTTTTCAAAGATCAAAAAAATCAATGGGAATTTTGTTTTTCATTTGTCCTAAATAGGGAACTCAAATTCTGTTCTTCAACTCTCAAGAACTCAAAATTTGTTTCTCATTTCCCAAAGAACAAAAAAAAATCAGTTTTTCAAAAACCGAAAAATAAATTTTGAGTTCTTGAGAGTTGAAGAACAGAATTTGAGTTCCCTATTTGAGACAAATGAAAAACAAAATTTCCATTGATTTTTCTGTTCTTCGAAAACCTGAAGAACAACTTTTTTTAGAGTGTATTAGACAAATATTCTATCTTAAAATGTATGCAAATCATACTAGACTAACTCACTCTAGAATATTAATCTAAACTTTTTTATTTTCCAACGAATCAAGCTGGCTCATTACATGTTGATTGAAGTTGAACAAATGTGGAATATTTGTCTAACAATTGTGACAGTCACAGTTATGAGGAGTTTTACAAGTACAGTTAACTGGTAAAAAAGCTGTAACGGGTGTATATTTAATCACAACTGACTGTATTTGTCTAACGGGGGAACCACCCGAGGTTATAAATCGATTTCGGGTTGGGACTATTTTGGAAAGAAAGGCCCTAACGAGCAGTGAAAAATACCCCAACTTGGTTCATCCCAATGGTGCCTTGTTGTTAAACTACTGAATTTTTAGTCAGTTTTTGCCTATAGAGCTTGGATTTCGAGCAAAATCTGACTTTCGAATTTTGATTTCAAACTTGCCACACTTGTAGCCCATGGCCATAGTAGTAGGGCGGAAAAATCTTCGGTGAATTTTCCTACCTTGAGATATTGAGACTCGAATGTTTGACCCTCACCCTTACCTTCTGATGAAATGTTCGAGTCTCGATATCTCAAGGCAGGAAAATTCATTAGCACCGAATATTTTTTCGTCCTATTACTATGACCATGGGCTACAAGTGTGGCAAGTTTGAAATCAAAATTCGAAAGTCAGATTTTGCTCGAAATCGAAGCTCTATAAGCAAAAACTGACTAAAAATTCAGTAGTTTAACAACAAGGCACCATTGGGATGAACCAAGTTGGGGTATTTTTCACTGCTCGTTAGGGCCTTTCTTTCCAAAATAGTCCCAACCCAAAATCGATTTATAACCTCGAGTGGTTTCCTCGTAAGAGGCAGATATATTATAACTGAAATTACTCAGGCAAAAACAAGAGGTGGATTCATTTCTGGGAAGCTCAAAAGACGCAGTACATTCAAACGACATTTCAACCATACGTGTTTATGCTTCTCAAACTTTTTACTTGACATCTTGTTCTTGTATGTCTCGTGCATTTTCTTGTTGTTTTTTCAATTCTTTTTCCGTCGGTACATTCTTGAATTGTTGTAAATATTCTAAATATTTGACTTTTCCATGTTCATCTTGTGGTATATGTCTCAAAATTTGATAAAATTCATCTGGTCTTAATGGAAACTCGAACAGATCTTCGATGGCGGATCGAAAATCTTGGTGTGAAATGGTATTTGTTTGAGAACGATCAATTTTTTTCATTGCCGACATTATTTGAGAATATTTCATTTTTAACATTTCATGAAGTTGTTTTTCAATAGGTAAATATTTTTCTTCACTCGGATCATCACGGGGACTATAAGACATTAGAATATGACTTAATGTACAAGTTAGAAATAAAAAACCAATTTTACTTATATCCTTTATATATCAGCTTTTAGATACAGATAAATGCCAATAGAACATGGAGAAAGTTTTGGTAATGTGATTGAATTCAAGAAGAATTTAGAAAGTTTGCTTATTTTGAACGGAAAAACTATGTGATCTTGCCCGACGATGGCTTGAATTCAGGACAGGACCGTCAATGTAGTCGCTCTTCCCACTAAGCTATCCGACCAACACTCTTCATACTGCTCAAAAAAGGGGATACATATTGAACAAAGATCGGCACGAGCCGAAATTTTTGGCCCGGTCCGGTCCGATGATGAACGGTTCCGAACCAAGTCCGACTCAGCCCGACCTAACGTAGATTTTATTTGGCGCGGTTCGGTCACTTTGAATGCTTTTGCTAAGCTTTATGCTAAGCGGTGTAAATGTATTTCTCAAGCTAATATTTATATCTTTATGATTTCTTGGTTTTCATTTTTCGTCCTATAACGGTATTAACTAAACGAGTTCTTTCAGATGCAGCGGAACAGTCATAATACTCTTTCTCGGTACCGAGTGTACACATAAATTACAAATCCACGCATGCTTAAAAATTTTGAGTTCGGCCAGGCCCGACCCAAGAAAAATAATCTGCGGCCTAAGCCCGGCCCGTGCCAATCTCTGATATTGAATACATACGACTGATTGATTGTGTCGTTTTTTTTATTTTTGTCTGTTGATACTCGTGCTTTGAATGCTTGTAGAACATCCTTGTAGGGTATTGCACTTTTTTCACCTTTAACATCGACACCAATTCGTTTAAGAAAAAATTCTAACAGCGATGTTTCTAACTTCAAACCAAACTTTTTCAGTTCATCTAAAAATCGATCACGGGGAATCTAAAATGAAATAAGGTCACACACACAAAATGAATGAAGGAAAGCTCAACTAGCAACTCACAGTTCCAATTTGTTTTTTATCGATATTTTCAAATGATTTTTGTAATTGATCAAATCCTTGGGGAAATTTATAACTGAGCCAGTTCTGTATATGATTTTCATCCAAACTCTGTGTACGGGCTAAAAATTTCAAAATAAGTTTTTGATTAGAAGAAGTCAAATATTGAATGGAGAGACCAAATAATTCATCCCAAATTAGAACAAACTGGTACACTAATTGAAATTTTTGAAAGTTTTATTTCCACTCGCCGAAATTCGCTATTACTTGAAGACTTGAAGTTCTCAAGTGAGAATTTCTAGTCACTTAGCATTACTTCTCTAATACATATATAACGATTTATATTCTGTTCATAAAGAAACCGTCTCAAGTGTCCTTCAGCTTGTTATGATGAAACTTATACTGTTATATAATAAATGAAGCTGATTCCGTATATGAGAATGAGAGCTGTCTCAGTTGCTTATAAAGATCCGACATTTCAACTAAAAATCAATTTTTGATCTGTTTACTAGATGAAACATCTTGAACTGTGCATACCCACAAATTTCTCATGGCACGACATTACCGCGAACAGAATTCCGACTCTTCCTTTTTCATAGTGCACATCTGGTTATTTTTGGCGGTGTGTCATGGAAGGTGGAGGTATGGATAGTGTGAGAGTGAGTTCAAAAAGTAGTTTCACAGAAAACATATTATCATGATGCGAAACTGTATAGTTGTAACTGCATAATGACAATTCAGCTAAATTCACTCAGGTTTCATATCGTTCGCCGTAACATCGCTGTATTAAATTTCTGCGTTTGAGCATTTTTTAATAATGGTAGACGCAAATTACACTCTTAATTAACAAGAAAATAACTGCATTGTTGAGTATAGTCACAATTCGAGATGTTTTTGTCAACTAAACAGATCAAAACTGATTTTGAGAAAAAATGTTTTGACTTGAAAAACTAAGTTTTCAAAAAATCGGATCTTTAATAGCAACTTGGACAGGTCTCGCCTTCAAACTCACCTTCCCTAGAGATCAAATCTTATAGAATATCTGCAAGAATTTTATCAAATACTTATACAAGGCAATCGATGGAAATGCGTAAGATATTGAAAGGTATTGATAAGAATCTTATATAAGAAACTGATATCCTTCCGATAAAATTCTTATTAGAATCTTATAGGAAGGATATAGTACAGTGCCATGACTATAGGAAGAAAACGAAATTCGAAAAATAAAAATATGAGACGAAAATGCGGGGGCATGACATGCTGCTCGTTTGCATAAATTCCGCTTTTTCAAAAATGCGCTACTTGAGATCCTTGTTTTTCTATAAAGATCGGATTCAATTCGGACTCTCTCAGTCGCAGAAAATAAAGCAGTTCGAATGCTACTAATATGTATCAAAATTCTTTTCATATCTGTCTTAAGGGGAGGGGATCCCTCTACTCGGTTTTCCCTATGAGTTTATAGAGAACACTTTGAAGCATATATTTCAATACGTTTTTCGGGTACCGGACATGTAGTTTTTGATAAAATAACTTTTTAAGTTTTGTCTTGGTTTTTTGCTCGATTTTTAAAGGTTTAATAAAATTTTCAGATTTCTACATATAACCTCGGTTTTTATATCAATCGATAGAGGACATCGGGATGTATCGATCAAACTTTCGATCAAGCTTTGTCTGAGTTATTCCGCTTTGACCTGCCCGCTGGCATTTTGGAGCAAGAACTATTTTTAAAAAACACCTTGTACCAAATTTCGTTCGAAGGAAGGCTTTTCAAGTAAAAGTGTGGATGCAAAAGTTGTTCAGAATCAGATTTCCTGGAATATGAACGAGAATTTTGAAAAATTCATTAAACTCGATTTTTAAATTTTTGAAAAATACGGTTTTTAAAATTATAAAATTTAGTAAAACTTAAATTAAAAAAAGAAAGTCCAGTTTAACGAATTCTGAAAAATCCCTCCTTATTTCAGGGAATCTGATTCTGAACAACTTTCGCACCAACACTTTTCCTTGAAAATGCTTCCTTCGAGCGAAATTTGGTTCAAGGTGTTATAAAAATATTTTCGTTTAGCTAAAAATTAGAGGAAGTTTTTAGTTTTGAATTTTTTTGTTAAATTTTCCCAGTTTGTAGAGGACACTTCGAAGTATATGTTCTGAAGATTTTTTTTTTTTTTTACTGACATTGTCTGGCTGAGAAAAAAATTAATTGCTTAAAAAAATGTTGTTAAATTTTTGAGCACGGGCCTGTTAGAAAAAAATTCTAATGAATGAATTGGATTCTAAAACTCTTAAGCTAGCCGATCTTGTAGTCCATGAAATTCTCTATCAGGTGAGGAATTGCTTAAATTCTTTTGTTGAGTCGTTATTTTGCAAATGGGACTGTAAGCTAGTAGAGTAGGCTAAATTAAAGTTAATTAGTGCTAATTAGCCAATAACAGAAAGGAAAGAACGAAAACTTTTATATATTTTCTCGTATTAAATATTCTCCACACATTTCTCTATCGATCTAGACAAGAACCAAGTTTTTACGATGAATGGAGAATGGACAGGAATTCGTTTAATAATAGTCCCTTGTTCAAAAATTTTACAATATTTTGTAAAGTAATTAATTTTTTTCTCAGTTAGATAATGTCAGGACATATACTTCAAAGTATCCTCTACAGACTAGGAACGTTGGGCGAAAATCTAAATGGGGGACACCCCCCCTCCTTTAATAAAGCACTAGAAGCAATCACTCATAAAAGAACTTCATCTATAGTTACTAACATGACTTAAGAATAACCTTGGACAAGTTACTAATGGCTATTGTCTCGGATCACCCGTCCGATAGCATGCTCACTATGTTGTGACATACACCGGTACTTCGGTGCTAGTACGTGGTTAGTGAGTGTGTATGAGGAGCTCAAGCAATTGGGCGAAAATAACTCTGTGTCAGGCTGGCCTTCTGTCCAGAGCTACAGCTTGCTTGGTGACTAGCAGAAGAACGGGTGACCGTCTCTGAAGATCATCAGCTGTAGGGAAGATATCGGGCTTATCGAAACTGCCTCGGTAGCACCCTACACTGCAAGGTGGAGTGTACTTCCTTCTTCCTACTAATATGACTCATCATTCAATAACCAGTGACCAAAGAAAAGAATTGCTTGATTGATCGCAACAGAAAATGTATCTTCGTGAAACATTTTAATGAGTTGTTTCTAGCAAAATATAAATCTCTTAATATATTTCTGACAAACTTCTAGTAATACGAATTCATAGCATTTGAAGTTGATTTAAATTGAATTCGTATATAGAATATATATGGATTCATAGCATTTTATAAGTCCTAAACGATTTCCTGTGTTACATAGAATCCTATATGATGCAGGGTTAACCATTTAGTTTGCATATAATCAAACGCTTTAATTGATGTAAATAAAAGTTCGTATGTTAACTTATCAAAATCTTATGAACTTTTCTAAACTAATTATATAATCTATTTTACCGAATTTTTATCAGAATCTCAGAAGATTCTTATATTCGTTCTTATAAGAATCTTATCAATATCTTACGCATTTCCATCGACTGCCTTATATAAGATTCTTATAAGATTTCTATAGAATCCCCGTAAGTTCGGTCGTCTAGGATTGAACTGTGAACTGATTTTTTGTTACGTCATACTTTGCATACTATTTTAAACTTGTACGTGAATACTATACTAGCATGAAGTGCGTGAGTTCGATTCTCGTAGCTGATGATTGTTTTCTATTTTTCTACTACTATGATTAACAAAGAGTTAAAACGATTCGTGTCGCTTGCCACTTCCGACAAGAATTTTAAGATTTGTGTTGATAAATCATACAAGACTCCTGTTACAATTTTTTATTAATTTTTTCGTTGTTTTTTTAAAAGAAATTTGTCCAGAAATGATGCTCTTTGTAAATATCTGTGTTGGCATCAGAGGAACTGGCTCTTTCTTAATTGTATACAAAATGAAAATAAACCATAAAATGGAGCGATAATTTTGATCATTTGTTCCACTGCAGAAATTATTTTAACAAGTACAAAATAAGATTCTTGCAAAGATTTTTCCCCTTGACAATTCAGACAAGAAGCAGTCGAGCGATTCTGGTCTGAGTTCACAACAAAGTATTTTTTCAGGGCTGACTCAGGTAATCACATAATGCTGAGAACTTTAGATGTGCGCTTGATAGTAACAGCAATATCTTTCTGCTAGTTAAATTTATCTAATTTTTGCACTATTCTAAATTTTTGTTACAGTTTAGAAATCTTTGTTATTTGCAAGAAGCTTTTTCTTCTAATAACTGATTCAGAGCTAAATGAGTTGCTCAGAATTTTTTTCTCTGAATCACCCTAGTCATCGTTTCTTGTATAAGAATCTTGTCAGAAACGTCTAAGTGTCTTATCAGTGTCTTACAAGATTCTTATCGGAATCTTATCAGTTTCTTACATAAGATTATTTAAGATTCCATCGACAGTCATAAGTGTCTTATAAGAATCTTATAAGACACTTATGACTGTTGATGGGAAATCTTAAACAATCTTATATAAGAAACTGATAAGATTCCGATAAGAATCTTATCAGTTTTATCACAAAAAAATTATCTAGGACAGAAAATACATTTTAATGAAGTTTGATTCAACCCTGATAAAAACTGCATAGCCCATTCAGCTTTTCAGATCGAGCAGGTCATCGACTAGTGAGAATTTCTTATTTTTTATTTCTTATTTTTACTATTTTTTAAATAAAATAATTATTTCCTCCCTCTTCAGGCTCTTAATTAAACTTTGTGACCAAATCTAAATGTCCTGCTAGTGATTTCCATTGGTTAGAAAGAGATAAGCTCCTCTAAGCTATCGATGGTGCACTTTTTAGTCGGATAATATATTGAAATTCTTGTATAGGTTTCGAAATAAAATGCGCAGATATTTTCAAAATCCTCATGTAAAAGGTTTTTTAGAAAACTCGACAGACTGTTTTAAATCCTTAGCGAAATAATATCGATTTAAACTGTTAGTTATCTTAAATAATCTTCCCTATATATAGTTTTTAAGTAAAAATTTTTTTTACCTGTTTGTGGTACTTGTTGTGTTGGTTGATCAACATTTGTGTCAGAATATGAACTTCGAAATCCTCCGTTTTGATTTTGTGGTCTAGGTGACTGCTGTGGTGGTCGTTGATTTACTTCGGTTATTGGATCATTTGTTAATCGTTTAATAAATTTATCACTGTTAACAGCGTGAAAACCATCAGTATCAAATCTAAACGGTGAAGAGTAGAAGTAGTGAGGGTAGAGCAAAATAAACAGGCCTTACTTGTCCCACAGTTTATCGAATTCATTATCTTTCATTTTGTATCCCATTTCATTCAACCAGTTGTAAAACTGTGCTTTAAATATACGATTCGATGGGCCACCATCTAATGCAGGACAAATGGTTACTAAATCGCGGTGTCTAGAAACAGAATACAAGCAAGATGAGCGATTGAGAAAACGAATCTTATTTAGAACAATTTTAGATGATCTATGTTCTCACGTTTAATCATCACACAATTGCTTCAATTTTAAAATGTCATTCAAACGACGTAGTTTGCTCGCTACAATCCTTTAGTTATCATTCAACCAGATATTAACATATAAATGATTTTCTTTTCTTTCTCACTATAGACACCATCTTATTAAATATTGAACTGTTAATTCTATATAATATTTATTATAATTTTATATTATTCTGATAAAATCGTACTAATAGATGTGTGCAAGAGTGATTCTAAAAGCACTTCATTTATAGAATTAGACATCAGCAAAAAAATTGTAGGATATGAAAGAAAATGTTAGCGAAAACCTAGCCGAAAGCCCATAGTATCCAACGAAAAACACTTTTCTTCATATATGTTATTCATTCTGCGAAAGTTCTTCTGAAAAATCTTTGCTAATTTATGCGCGTCTCAAGCTAATATTCATCAATTTGTACAGAATTTCTGTAAAAAACTCATGATTTTGAGACGTTCGATCACTCAGAGATCAGAGATCAAATGGGTTTAAAATAGAATTTAGTGAGAAAGTTACCTACTTTGTTCTTGCTTTTTCTTTGAGTATAAGAAACATTTGCATTGCCGTTCGTTTTGGTTGTTCAAACATGAAATTTCGAGGCGATTGTCTAACCCAATCGGGCACATTCTGACCGTTAAACATAGAATTTGTAAAATCTTCAAAACTAAATAAAATTTCAAATTAGTTTGATTCAATCTTATAAATATTTATTATTACCTTATTTTCATTTGCGTTTTCAAACCAAATCTATCCAATAATTTATCTACTTGACTGGGTCCAATTTGTCTCGATGGACCGAATATGGCTGCAATAATGTGTCCAAGTGCTTCTTTTGACACGCACCCATTACCCTCCGGATCAGCATTTTTAAATTTTGTTCGAATATCGTGTAAATTAGTTCGAACTTTTTCACGAAGAGTTGATTCTAGTTCATCGATAATTATTCGATTTGTAGATGGTGTGGGAGGTGGCTGTTTGGAACCGCCACCACCATTATTATTGTCATTGTATGATGATGTTGTACTGTCGGGACGATATCCTATAGATAGTAAAAGTTCAAAATAAAGGTTCTTTCTTAACCATTTTAAAAAAAAGTGCGTCATAAGGTTTCTTAAAATAACTAAATCATTTTTCATTTGATAGAGAACTTCTTAACAGGCATTTATAGATAGAAACCTTAAGCTGAAGTAGATGTTAAATTCTCAAGTTTTATATTCACACAAAAGAAAATAAATAGTGAAAAACTCAAGTTCTCTACTGATAATGAATTCAACTATGGGTCCCATTTGAAATTATTTATTATTTTTTTCTGTAGAGAATCTAAATAATGAGATACTTCTTCTCTTTTCAATTGGTACCGTTCAACATTCGATTCTTCTTGCTCTTATTAGTATCAAAAAATCATAAGAATATTACAATACATACCAAATATGGGTAATCTCACTTTGTTTGAATCTGTTCCATATACGGCTTCTACATTATCAGGTATTTTTGAATAGTCGGTTAGAGGAGTTAAATGTTGCTTTGATTTTCCTTCATTAAATGACCTTGAATTATGTCGACGTTTATTTTGTTGCTGTTGTCTCGACGGTGATAGTGGATAAGAGTCTAGTTCACTAGCTAATGGTCGACCTGTAATAAAATCATTTGACGGTCGTTCAATCGAATTACGACCATTTTGTGCTCGTGAACTGCCTCGAACATCTAAATTAGCTCGATCAAATGTGTTCATTCTCATTGACGGATGTTCTATTTTTGGTAATGTCATAATTTTCTTAGGGTAATGAATGCCCCCAGGAGAGGGGGCTGCTAGTGTAGACATGGTCAATGATGTATATGATCGATATGAGACAGCAACACTAACATACAGCTGCTGTAACTAATTGAATATAAAAATGTGATTTAAATTTATGTTTTGTTTTGTTCTTCTATTTGATGTCGTTAAGGCCCTCTGGTTAATTTGTGTTGTGTGTGTGTGTATGTTTTTATTCACATAAATAAAAGAAAACCAAGTGCATATATTTTTTTACTTAAAGAGTAAAATACATTTATTTTCTCTCTTTTGCTCATTTTATTGCATTGTTTAGTGGTAGTGGTAATAGTGTCTAATATAATAATATTGTTTCTGCTCATTGATCAATATTGTGCGTTCTCTTCTCTCCATTAAACTATCGTCGTCAAAACTCATTTAACGTTTAATATTTGAACCTTTTTCCTTTCACATTTAAAGTGATTCTTTCAAAAAATTTTGATTTTATTCTGTTTACTCAACCTGATGTATTTTTAAATGGTAATAAAATCGTTTTTTGAAATGATGAAACAACATGATTGTTTATACTACAGTTAAAATTGAAAAAGAGCACATTGAAAATTATGAATATAGAGATGATTATTCTAACCTTCGATTTCCGTTCTAATCTACATTAATGAGTGAGATAGATCTTTTGATTGTTGCAATAGTTGATCAAAATGAGATATACTAGAGCACTTTATTTCAAAATCACTATTTACCCTTAGTGATCTTCTCATTTCTCAAACTTTCCGTTAGTTTAAAAGCTCTAGAGCTGGAAGGCGTCTCAAATTGAAGCCAACACTTTTTTCTACAAACTGAAAGGGCCCGATGTTGCAAATTTGATTTGGTTTTATCGGCAGAAAGACATCTGCCGAAACGTTCAACTCTACTTCTCATATTTTTGAGATTTTGAAGATAAAATATCAAAAATCGGGCTCATTCAACTTATAGAGAAAAGTGTTGGCTTTAACTACGGATATTTCCCAGCTTCATAACATATTTTAAAAGATCTTTTCTGTTTTATCATGCATTTTTGAAAACACTTTTTTGGCCTCTCATAATCAAGAAACGTAGTACCAAAGAAAATGACCAAGAATCCATCTTTAACTATTCCATTTATTTAAAAAAAGTCAATTTAAACCAAAACGAAGTACAATGTTTCGATTTCTCAATGAACTATCGTAGAATATTAAGGCCTCTAAGCGAAATACTGACTCAAAATAACAATAATAACAGCACACGCCATTCAAGAATTATGTATGATTTCAGCTTCAAGTCAAACAGCACTGTTTTAGGTGCAGCTGCTGCTAAACAGGAAATATCTCAGAACAGTCCTTGTTGCATCTGATATAAAAAGACACTAAAATAAGCTGAACAACGACAGAACGATAGAAAACCGAAACATAACCATCTTAAATCTGAATGAAAAGATCATTTCATCACGTAAATGTTACTTCTGAAAAAAGCCTGTAAATTTCAACTGACCATTGTCTGGACGTAAAATATTACTAGTGACAGATAGCAACTTAAGTTTATGTTCAAGATAGCACTTCAAAATATTTCACCTGCACGGGTCCACACTTTCAGCATCCTGTCGTATTGAAGGCAACAGTTAACAAATATCGACTACTAGATACTTATGTTTAAATATCTAATTTTTAGTCAAGAAGTGTATGCATCTGTCTCATTACTGAATTTTTGTCATATTTTAAATTTAAAGTCAGTTTTAAAGCAAAAGTTTCAGTAATTTCTCATCTCGATTTTTGATCTATGTAGCTAACACATAGAATGTAACTTGTTGCGACATCTATATAATGTTAAACGTTTTAGTGCATTGTTTCTAAAGAGGTGCCCACTAAGAAAAATCGACTGTATGTAAGAAACGAAAAATATATGCAGTGACGGTTCCTGAATGGAGACATCAGTTCTTTAACTTAACTAATGTATTGAATGAATTATTACCGCTGAAGCAAGCATTTCCTTAGACAATCCAATCATTGTACACTGCACTAACCATACCTGTCTCATCAACAGCATGTGAACGAACATTCTTCAAAATGAAATATATATCAACTTACATGGATAATTGTATGACTGATCATCGAGAAAGTGATTCATCAGTATCAGCTGTTGAAAGAGATATAAATATACAATTTGAGTAAATAATTAAGAGATACATCAATGCTTGCAACAAGGATCACATCCATGCTAATAACTGTTTTTTTGCATTTTAGAACATGTTAGTGGTGACAGTTATTACCAAAATAATAGCAGTGATTCTCATAGATTTGTAATTAGTAATCGTAGTGCCCGACTTGGTTACAGTGACAATAAAATGACTGGTCCTCGTGTGCTTAGGAAGGTGGATGAAATCGTTCGGATGTTTTCTGAATGACTTGCTTTTAGGATACTCTAAATTATCACTATCATCAGCAACAGGAAAGATATGGAGTTACCAGTACAAAATAATCATGTCAAAGGATATAATTATCACAACAAGAAGAAATGAGGATAGTATCTCTGAGTGATATAATTATCATCATTACCAATAACAGGAGCATTTTTCCTCTTTAAAAATAAGTAAGTAGGTCGGAGATATCGAAGACAAATACCCCAGATGATGGAAGACGAAAAGACGCAATTATTATCTTCGAATTTCTTTTTTTCTAACCCAAGACTGACAATTTTAGATACAGTTGAATTTTGATCGTTGAATGTAGTTTACTGAATTTCGTTTATTAACTTTTTGTTCTTGGTGACAGCTCGTTTCGCTGTTACTAAAAGCAGTATGTCATTGTGAAATTTATCCTCTCAATCAACTATCATTATCTCGAAAATTATCTCATTCATTTAGGAATGAAGATAATGAGATAATGGAGTTGGTACTACTGTCCATTTCAAAATAGAATGTGGGCAATTGCGATTCGAATAGCTCGAGAACAGAAAGAGCTATCGAGATCGGATTTTCACCGTCGTGTAGCCAATGGGACGTAGATGTATACAGGAATCAAAGGTTTTCAAGTGCTTTTTTGAAAATCACCTTGCCAGTCGGGGAAGCTTTAGTATTTTCTCGATCAAAATGAACTTCATTTGATAGCTCAGGATCTCCTTCACAACGCTAAGCAAAGCCACAGTTTTCCATTATTTCGTTCAAGACCTAGGCCGCACGCGCACAGATTTCCGAAAGGCACGCTTTTTGACCCAGCTAACCTCGGATACGCATGAAAACATAGATTTTCGATCACGCCGAATCTCGTGGCAATGTTTGTTTCCCGAAAAAGCTTCAAAAAACTGATAGAAACCTATACTAGACGAAATATAATCTATTTTTCACTATTTGCACCGAAAATTAAACAACATATCACTCACTTGAAATTGTTTTAAACTGCGTTTCTAAATATCAACATATACTCGATTTTATCTGTTTAACCATATTCTGTAGTAGAGATTAGTACGAAACATTCCTGTGTTCCGAAAGCTTTCTGGAAAGCTTTTCAAGAGCCGAAGTACTTTCTGTTGATTTTTGAAACTGTTATTGAACCCTCATAGTGTAGCGCAAATAAAATCGAGTATATGTTGATATTACATCAATGTTGATGTGTTAGTATATGTTGACATTGTTAGCGAAGTACGAAATTAATTTAGGGCTTTTCTTGTAAATTCTATAACTTTGCAAAGAAAGGTCATGTAGAGGTGGGAGGTAAAATTCTGAGTATTTTAGCCGTCTCACTTTTCCAAAAATTGCACTTTGATTTTTATTGAAAAATTTAAGGGCAAAGGACAAAAATGCAGTGTGAGTGTAAGTTGAGCAAAAATATTAAGCAAAAGACGAAAAATAGTCAAAAATCGGCCAGAATCCTTCACTGTGTCGCCTCTGCATTCCAAACGAAATCTTGAACCAATGCGACACTTACATGTTAGACGCAGTTTCTCACGCTCTATTGACTGGTACAAAAATAAAAATCGAAATAGGTGTGGAACCTTCTTGAAAACACTAGTTATTGGTCGATTTTTGACTATTTTTCGTCTTTTGCTTAATATTTTTGCTCAAAATACGCTCACACTGCATTTTTGTTTATATATTTGGATAGAGCAACTATTTTCACCAATAATTGTTTAGTTTCAAGTTTTTGAATGACTCTTTCTTGGTGAAAACCTGCAAACTATCAATTGGACTGACCTTGACCAATCTTCAGTTTTTGGCATTCGACTCCACGAAATCTTTACTTTTTCTAACTTTAGATCCCATATTCGTGATCAGCACAAAATTCTGAGTCAGAAAAGGTGTGCTTCGAAAATTTTAGAGGAGAACATTTTTTCGATGTTCCAAAGGCCTTTGCCCTTAAACTTTTCAATAAAAATCCAAGTGCGATTTTTGGAAAAGTGAGACGGCTAAAATACTCAGAATTTTACGCTGATTCAGAATATGTAAGTTTTGTTGGGGTGCTCGACATTAGCTTATCCTCCTCCGTCCTTTGGTCAATTTTGTTTTTAATTCATTAAATACTGACTTAGATGAATACGATATTGACAACTCACTTCGAGTTTAGTGAAGAAAACTAATAGAACAAAATCGATTATTGCTCATTTTTTTTTGACTAGACAGCATGAACGTTCACACGATGCTGCGGCTTACAGTATCCTTCTACGCTTAAACTGAGATTGAAATAGTTATAATAATCAACTCGAGTTATAACCTCCAACTCGAGTTATAACCTCCAACTCAAGTTATAACTGGATCAACTTCTTTAGAAATTTTCTTATGTTTCAACTTTTGAAAAATAGTTTTAAACCCATCAGTGCGGCAGACACGTGCGTGATTGAAGATAAGATATGCTTTCATTATTCTCATTCTAAAACAGACATACAAAAGAGTGTTCGTTATATACACGACACTTCTTATTTTCTTTACTTGGAGTGCAAGCTATTTCTATACTTGAACT